GTTAGGTAACATTACTTAAATATTTATGTTTAAATCAAGGTGACAATTAGAGTAATTCAGCTTATAATCAACTAACTAACATACTTCCTAACTAAAAATCTTTGTAAATATTATAATTTAATAATACAGAAGTTAACGTGACCGACTGTGACCACGGCCAGAGCCACCTGAAGATGTAACACCTAGTGTTAGTTTATTTCACTTCTATTCTACCTTTACTGTGACCGCGTTGTTCGTTGTGACTGACTCTTTACACCAATCACAAAGCCGGACACGGTGACCGTAACGATCGAGTCAACGTGAAATAAACATACACTAGGCCCGCTGGTCGAAACGTCATGCAGTTATAATATCTTTATATATATAATTCTTCTGTGAGTGTGTATGTCACTGAACTTCTCTCAAACGACTGGACCGATTTTGATGAAATTTTTTGTGTGTGTTCAAGGGGATCTGGGAATGGTTTAGATTCACAATTTTGAATGGTAAGGGTGACCCATCCCTAATTTTTTTTTGTTGCAATACAACGTTTGCCGGATCAGCTAGTACTATATATATTACTCTTAATGGAACTTAAAGGAACTTCAAACTTAGTACTAAAACTTCTATGGACATTACTTTAAGCAGCTAAAATATTGTAAGTTATTTTGGGTGGACTCTATCTTAAACAGATCGTGTTCTTTTCAGACATTTGATTCTAATTTGAGCAAAAGTTAAGTTATATTGTGTCACCCCTTACAATAATGTTAAGTTAACACAAAACTCCAAACAAAATATTAATAAGATAAAAGTACTCATGAAAATTAAATTTAAATACAGTTCCAAAGCAATTCAGTGGCCATAAACATTTATATTAAAAACAAAAACATAGGAGTTTGTGGGGGTAACTTTAGCCTCAGCAAGAAAGAGATAAGTGTACAAAGTTGCAACTGGCAGAGGCTATGGGTAATTATAATAATTCACTTAATAACCGACTGTGAAACCGGCGTGTTATGTAACTTTGGCTGTAACTTATCTTGTGTGGTTAATGAGAGGGTAACTTTGGCTTTTATATGAACGAACTAATGTTTTTTTCGCACAGGAATCACTTTATAAATCCTTTTAAGTTTGTCCATAATAAATTGTCATTGGAATTAAAACCTCCATTTGTAGAGTTGTGTCCATTTTTTTTGTGATGTAGTGACAAACAAGCATACAAGTAACCTGATGGTAAGTGACTACGAAAGTGACTACTAATGCAACTCAAGAGCAACCAGCCTTTTATTGCCTCCCTGTATTTTTATAACTAAAATGCAAAAAAGTACTCGGCTTGTCTGTGTCATTTAACCCTCAACCTGGGGTAGGTTATAATAATATGCAGTATTTAAGAATCAAATGGTGCTCTACCATTTATAAATACTCCTTATAGTCCTGGTGAAACAGGGTTTTCTATTGGGTGCAGTTGTTTTTTACTCAGGCGGGTCGCATTCATGCAGAAAATTACAATGATCTAATTTTTCTTTAATAAAAAAAGTCAGCAAACTATTTAAAAAATAGCGATAGCGTAACAAGACCTTAGCATCTAAAGGTTACAGCCTTATCAAATACGTTACCTACTAATTAAAATAAGTATAGCACTTAAAAAAAATAACTGTTAGCGATTACGCCTTATCATGTTCCTAAAACAAACGCAAGCTTAAGTACACCGCTACGACGGCTTGTAGACAATTACAATACCTATTTTAACAGTACCGATATCTTCATGCATTCAGCAATCAAATATTTAAAAAATATGTAATAGAATCCTTAAATGATATGACTGCTTCCAGGTCGGGTTCCGAATTTCCATAATAATTTTAATTTATGTGTAATTTAGACATATATCGTATGTCTACATTTTTACTGTGCAAATATAATTAATAATTTAAGTATATCTATAACAGATTATTTTATTATTATTATTATTTTAAATTCTACGTGATTACGCCATTTTATTATAACATTGCGTATAGTCATAAGTGGATAATGCTGTTGGTAGTACAATTAGCACATTTGTATATAATAATAATATTTACTATGATTGAATATTGTACTATTGTTTGTTATGTCAAATAAATAAAACAACAATATTGGTGATGTGTATTTTATAAGTAATTCCTTTAGTTCTTTTAGGTTTATAAATATAATCTGAAAACCTAAAACTTCACAAAACAATTTTTTATTTCCTAAAGACACGTGTCACACGTTGTTAAATAATTAATTTATAATAACTTGAAAATCGTAACTTACGTATTGTTGAAAACCTTAATGAGATGGGAGCTGTGTGTGTAAGAAGTAGTGGGTTCGACTCCGACCTTGGCACCTTCATTATTTTCGATTATTTGGTTCTTACTGCTAATCAATGTATCTTTTATACCTATTAACAAAATCCTTCGTATTTTGATCTAATAACTCATTAGTAATAGTATTTAAATATCTCAAGGTAAGTAGGTAAGTTGCAAAGAAAATTAGCATTTCCTAAAGATAAGATTTGAGTGACATGTACCGCCATCTACATTTATACCTACGCAATGTGAATACTAATCGCTGTTGGTAGATGGCAGCTATAAGCTAGATGTCACTTGCGACATATTTATGGGCCAAAAAAAACAACATTCCCGCTTGAAACAGAATGGCTTTTAAATGACTGGGCGAATTTGCGCGCGATCTCACGAATTTGTATGCAGATTTAAGAAGAAAGATGTCTGAGTGTGTTTTCCATTCGTGCAGACAGATTTTGTTATTTATTTTGTACGAAATGTGTTTTTCTTACATCAAGATAGTGTTTTAACATTGTACTTTATGTATTGTAAAATCGCTAAGTAATGGTTTCTTAAACGAAATGTAACATTTTTAAATGTAAAAATTAAATTGAAATTTGCTGAATTCAAAACGAACCGACTCCTAATTACCTTATTTTATTCTTCTTTGTATTTATAATTTGATAAGCAATATTGTATGTTGTTTTATAAATGTTATCACTATTTTTTTTCGACCATAGAAGTTTGCAATTATATTCTTTAATTTATTAAACTTCTTTCTTAAAATAGATACCTACGCCTAAATAACAGAAACTTTAAAATCAGATTTAAAGTTTAGTTCATTCTAAATGCAGTTTGTCAACGTTATTGTCATTTGTCCTTAACTACTCGTGTCATATAGGTTCAAGTTATACTGGACAACAATATTTTAATGTGTTGTGGTGGAAAACCGACCTCGTGGTCGCCCACTAATTTTCATTTATTGCATTATTAAATTGAGGTCCTAACTTAAGGATGATAACGTGTACTCTTTCTACTTTGTCAATTGTATCGGCACCGTGATCTTATAAATGTAAGGAAGACTGCACTGGAAATTCTAAAATTTGGCTTAAAATCTCTGTTTTCAAATATATTTTTTTCTAAGAAATGGTATAATATGAAGATTTCAAATAAATTTTGTTGTCTTTAAAATCTTCATAATCCTTTCCAACGTTTCGCTCCGCTTTGTTCAAATTACGAGCTCGAATAATATATTTTGAAATAAGACCGTCAATTCAGTTCCAAAGTCACATAAAACGTTAGTCTATGACAGACATGGAGGGTGGCAAAAGTCCGGGCCCCGCCAACGAGGCCTTCCATAAATATCAACCGTCTGAGACATTGTCAACCGGCCACCCTAATTTACGGCTAGTAATTAGGAGTTTGCACTTTGCCAAAACGATTTGCATCGATCGCTACGCTATTAATTTATTGTTATGATGAAATCTAAAACCTTTAGTTGAATCCATGCTAACTTATAACAATGGTGACGTTATAGTTATTTAGTTTGGTACATGTTTCCGTTTGAGATTTGAATTACCTACTTATGAAAGTACTTTCAGAAAATGTTTTGTTCAAAGATCACACTAGTAGCGTCATCTTTTATAAAAGTCAGAAATAATAACTATTTCTGACTTTTATAACTTGCGTTTTCAAAACTTTACAATAGATGTCACTAAAAGAAAGAATACAGGGAAAGTTAACTACATTTTTTATTAACTATATTAAATGATGATATAATGTCAATAATGTAAAAAAATTAATTGCTGTAAAACTAAAAAAAGATTAAAATAAATACCTAACTGTAACATATACTATAATATTATCTGTGGTAAATTCAATTTCAGTCTTGCCAGTCCAGGGAATTTCCAACAGCTTTAGGATTGAGAGAAAATAGTGTCGCAGTCCGTAAACTATATTAAAATCTTTACATAGTAACTTAACGGATTTTAATGCGGTTTTTACCAATAGAGAAAGTGATTCAAGAGCCGGGTTTATATGCAAATTATAGTATGGAAAATTCAAGAATTTCAAAGATTTGTAATGTAATGTCATATATTGCACCTGTGCGAAGCCGGGGCGGGTTCCTAGTTTTCAAATATTCTTTTTAAACAAAATAAATGTGTTGTAAATTTCAGTGGGTTTGGGTTTGTTGTAGCAAATAAACTAAGATTCAAGAGTGCTTTCAACATAAAAAATGTGTAATACAATACTTTGAACTGAATAACGAAAAACTATTAAAAACACATTCATCTCATTTGCTTTTTACTTTTCTATTTTCGTTTTGACGCTGTCACACATGAGGTTGTAGAAAAGAGGTTCGTCAATTGATCAATTCTCAACATTATATATATTAATTAATTAATTATTATAATTATTAATTATTGTGAAACATAGTAATCGAAGTGTGTAATAAATAACAATCCAATTAAAGCCATTTCATCAATCGACTTCCGAATATACATGAGATTACTGTCTGTGCAGGGATTTTACAAAAAGGTGGGTTAAGGGAGAAAACGGCTCCAAATGCTGGCATCACTGAATTTCATATCCAGTTCCCGCCTTTTTTCAGTTTTATTATTATACTACTTATACAGCTGCTGTCAACAAATAAAATAAGTTTTGTTGTTTTTTTTTTACTTGTACCATTAAAATAAAACGTCTTAATATTTTATTACAAATATGGATCCATACGAAGTTGAGTTTATTGGTGAGAACAGAATTGTCAGCATCATACCTAACTTTACTTATGACAAAATCTATTTAATATGCGGCGAGTTCGGGCCATTTCGGGCCGGTTTACCTATGAATGTGCCTTTATGGCTTGCTATGATGCTGAAACAGAAGCAAAAGTGCCGTATAGTGCCACCGGATTGGATGGACCTGGATGTTTTAGAAAATATCAAAGAAGAGGAAAAACGTTCTAGGTTAGTTTTAATTGTTAGTAGAAAGTTCTTAACGTTATTTTTAACTTAGTACTTATGCAGGTTTACAAATAAATGATAAGTAAAGTAATAATATAGTTATCTAAACTGAATGAATATCTATAAATAATAATAATAAAATAAACTCAAATTAATTATGTAAATTAAATACTATTATTAATTACTAGAATATTTTTAAGAAAATAGTAAAAAAGAAAACAGTTATCACTTCCAGATTTTTCACAAAAATGCCAAATGAGCATTACATGGTAGAAGCCAAACTCATCTTAGGCGCTGCTTCAGAAGATGTACCTAATGCAGCAGAAATCAAGACCATTATCAAGGATATCTGGGATATTCGGATGTCAAAATTGAGAACTTCTATGGATGCTCTCATGAAATCGGGAGGAGGATATGGTAGGCTTGATCATTTGACCATGATGGAGATCAATTCCGCTAAACCTTTGCTACCGTCTGCCATGGATTATTTGTTACAGATACAAATGGTGAGTAGGTTTAGTCAAAAATATCATTTAACACAGACATCAGAGGCTTAAGTTTGAGTTTATTTCACATCTACTCCATTGTCCGAATACTACTCAATGGTGACCGAATTCAGCACTGCAATTGGCTCACACGGTAATCTTAACCGATACAACCTTCAAGAAAAGTTTGTACTCCTTCCTAGAAGGCTGGCAACGCGTTTCTGACTCCTGAGTTGCAGACATTCATGGTGGCGATGGTCACTTTCCATCAGGTGACCTGTCAGCTCATCTGCCCCCTCTATCATAAAAACAAAAAACAATGCCGTTGATGTCAATTAAACTTGCACCACTCCCTCAGATGCCTTCCAAGTATTCACAAGATTTGCAGTTACTATATTTTTATACCGATGAATAATACCTTTAATTACACTTCCTGTTTGATACATAATATAAATTTGTTCTTTAGTTAATAAAACTTGCTATGATTTCAAACAATATTAAGGGATTTAGCTTATCATATTTCTACCTTCAGTGCATTCCACTACCACTCCTGCATTCCACAAGCATGTAATCATTTATATATTACAGAAGGCTCAAAAGAAAGTAACGCAGCAATCATTACTGAACACTTCCACCTTCAGCCAGTCGGGCAGCTCACAAAACACATAGTACCTGCAGTCAAGATGAATAAAAAAATAAGATAAGTGTACTATAGTTACATTAAATACTTAAATGTTATATATTAATTGACATTTCAAGCAAATCGAATAAAATTGGAATAAAAAATTACCAAGTAAGTGAAATACTTTCGAAGTACACATGGAAATTAATGCTACTTTTAAATCATAATTGTATGATGAAATGATTGGTTTTAGTCACTGCAATTTCAACTGTGATTATGATTTGGTCATAGACAAAGATAAATCATAGGTGATTGCGAGTTTATTCCATTCCTATTTCTAAGCCTTTTAACTTAAGCTACCACTTACATTACCATAGTATTTTTTGTAATAGAGTTTTAAATTGTGTAATGGATTTTTAATAATGTAAATCATTTTATTATGTCCAGTCTTAATAGTGGGATAATTAATAAAGAGGGCTATTCTATTACTTGCTGAATCATTCAATATAAGTATAATATAAAACTTTTTTTTAGTCAAATTGTCTTAAGTGTGTTAATCATCATCAACAGCCTCTAACAGTCCAGTGTCTTTTAAGCTGCCGATGTTGCCCTACTCGAACATATCAAATGAAATTTGTTAGTGTGCTCACTAATTAACCAATTTCGTAATATTAGTGTTCTTGAAAGCAGCATACTAAGCGTTTCTTTCAAAAAGAGCTTAGAAAGACTAGGCTCATCCGCTCTAATAGTACACCTGCAACACACATCTCTAAATCGCCCAAAGGTTGACTGCAAAAAATGCCTATGGCATTACGTCCGCCTTATGCAATTTATTTGGAGGAACCTATAGAATTCTTCAATAGACAAATTTATTTACGTGAAATCCTGTGAAATCTGGTTTTATAGTGCAGAGTTACTCAAGTTAATTAGTTCATGTTTTATTAAGAACTAGCTGACCCGCGCAACTTCGTCTGCGTCTCTCAATAGTAATAAATTTTCTCCGTTTTTGAAACATTCTTCATTGGTGCTCCGCTCCTATTGGTCTTAGCGTGATGATATATAGCCTATAGCCTTCCTCGATAAATGGGCTATCTAACACTGAAAGAATTTTTCAAATCGGACCAGTAGTTCCTGAGATTAGCGCGTTCAAACAAACAAACAAACAAACAAACTCTTCAGCTTTATAATATTAGTATAGATTAATTTTTTTTTTTCATTTTTATTATTAGTGTAATTTTTATTTATTTATTAATTTCGTTTCCGATTATCATTACTACTATTTTTTTTTTGTAAAATGTGATTAAATGTAATCAACACAAAGTGTAATTAGGGTAATTTAATAAATTAATTTTCAGTTCTTTTATTTTAAATTACACGTAAACTAATAAGGCAAGAAATTATCTGTGATTCACAAAATTAATTTTAATAAAAAAAGCTCTTATGGGTAATTAAAAAAGTTGTCACAATCGTCCTGGTTTTAATTACTTTCAATGAATGTGAATTTGTTAATGAAGGTATTTATGTGGGTATTTAGGTTTACAAATTGTACTTTTGTAGACAAAATAATCCATACTTAAATTAAAAATGTGAACGTGAGTTCGTTTGTTTTTTACGCTTTCACGCCTAATCCACTAAACCGATTTTAAAAATCATTTCACCAATAGGAAGCTACATTATCACCTAGTAACAAAGGCTATTTATTACCAGGAAAACCGCCATAGACGCGGAGGGAGCCGCGGGCAAAAGCTGGTACGAAATGAAACAAAATATGTGCCTTGATGACGTTCTTTATTTTATTTTTACGAAAGATATTTATTATGCTATTGTATTAAAGAGAATCTTAACTAAGCTAGTATTAATAACCTCTCCCCTCGTGGACTGCGGTAGTCACTTAACATCAGGTGGCCCACCTGCTCGTCTGATTTCCTGTACCATAAAAAAAAAACAGTTTCCATTGTGGTAGCTTGTTTATTGATGGGACGTGTGCTTTTGTACTATACAATCTGTTGGAGTGATTTCTTGAAAAAAGACGGGAAAGCATGCGTTGTTTGATTTAACCATTGAGCGCGTGCAGTGCAGTACTGTTGGACGATACTGATGTACGCGATAACTCTCTTTCAGTCTAGCTTAAATATTTACCATCTCTTTTTTTTTTTCTTTTAAAAAGACAACTTCCGCACTAGGAAGAAATCCTGTGTCGCGGGGGACTTTACAAACATACATGAAACGGACACAAAGTACACCCAGACTCAGAACAACAATTTGTGGACAACACAAAGTGTTTTCCCATGTGGGGTTTGAACCCACAACACTCGGGTAATAGGAAACGGCGTGGCGACCGCTTAAACCACTACGCCATCCGTGCATTCAAACAACCAGCAACCCTTATTTGCGGTCAGTCTTTAACAGCCAGCAACCCTTATTTGTGACCAGATTTAATTAGGCAACCGTATATCATAATAAACAGAAAAAAAATTGCTTTAATTTGATAGATAAATAATAAACGTACGGTATGAACTTATAAATGTCTCAAAATCACCTGGCTGCGAAGAGGTGCCGAGGCCGAGTGCGCAACGGAAACCTTGATTTTTCAGAGTCTTTGTATATATATTGCCATGAAGTGGACTATATTTTATTAAAAAACAAGTGAACGAAATGTTTGCCCCAAAATCAATTAACAAAAATTTAATTAAAAATACTAGCGGCCACAATTTGATAGGCAACCTGGTAGATATATAATCTCCTAATCATAAATATGCGTAAAAACTGTGTTTTAGCACATACTCGACGAGTGCACTGATTCTGCAGCCGGATCTCGTACTACTAGGTGAGATGTCAAAGTTAAACACATTCCTAGAATACAGATGAACATAAACAAATACTCTATACAATTTATTAAAGTATAGATAGTGTCATTTATTTTTATGTGACTCTCCCTATCTGTAATTTCAATAAATACAAAATGCTTATAGCAAATTTATCTCAGTTCGGCTGAGTAGCTGAAGTTCCCTATACATAATTTTATACCTTGAGTTCTTAGAATTTTTTAGGAACAGTGCCATCTATCGGACTTCTTACGAAGTACAAAACAGTGTAGGAAACAGACTTTGTAAGGTGAGCGCCAAGTGTGGCTATTAAGGTGCCGCGACCTTTACTAGAGGGTGCAGTAACTAGAAAACAATGAATGTTTAAATTAGACATTGAATAACAAATATAACGATACTAACCGTTGAGCCAGAGGTGATGGGTTCGATTTCTACCCAGAACAACTAATTGTGTAAGTGTTAAGCACGATCATTAGTTCTGTGTCTGGGTGTAATTTATCTATGATATGTTTGTATGTTTATCAGAAGTCTTGGTACCATTATAGCACAGGTTTTGAATTTAGAATCAGACAGCCGCTGCCCGCTAGCCATATGTAAAAAGTGTCAAGTTAAAAAAAAAAACAACATCTTATTAGAAACTAGCTGACCCGCGCAACTTCGTCTGCGTCTCTCAATAGTAATAAATTTTCTCCGTTTTTGAAACATACTTCATTGGTGCTCCGCTCCTATTGGTCTTAGCATGATGATATATAGCCTATAGCCTTCCTCGATAAATGGGCTATCTAACACTAAAAGAATTTTTCAAATCGGACCAGTAGTTCCTGAGATTAGCGCGTTCAAACAAACAAACTCTTCAGCTTTATAATATTAGTATAGATTATTTCTGTAATCAGGCTAAGATTGTTTAGCCTTTTTTAAGTTATGTATACTCGTATTAATTTTTTATGGTATTATTCTTTCGATTCAGTCAAGAATTTATAGAATATATGTATTTTACCTAAAGGCGTCAACCTTATATAATATCCCAAATTTAATATAAAAGTGCCTAATAAAATGTGGTAAATATTGCTTGCCAAATGGCGGAATATAGCTGCACTGAATGTTTATTCTATAACTGATGAAACTATGTTGACACCAATTGTAATAAAGTATATTCGTAATAAACAATTTGAATTAAAATAATAAATTAATGTTTCGCCATTACTAAAACATGACACATAGTAACTGTGTTGCCCTGCAATTAATAATAACCTATATTATTTATTAAACTGATAACTAAGTTTTCAATTATGTTACAACTGTGTGATGCATTATCTAAATAGGTTTTTAGTTTAGTAATAAGTTATTTATGCTGTATTAATAATTAGTATAAAGGTCTAAGATTAGTCATAAATACCTATTAAATTTAATGAATCCAGTGCTGTCCTCTGTTTTGCAGACATCTACATTAATTTTAATTGTTTTGTCCCACTTGATTAAGGAGAGAATTGTAACTCCTCCAATATACTTCTAGGAATGTTTTTACTGGTACCAAAATGGTGTATTTCCTTGGCACTTACTGTCACTGTTGTTGATGGTTCTAGTTGGGAGACTAGCCAGGATTGGTTTTAGGGTAGGGCAAAACCAAACGAGGGAACTCCTCAACTGTCAAGAGAACACAGAGCTCTTGCCTTGAGCTTGGTGGTTATTCAGAATGATGAAAATCGGTATTTTGAAATTCGTTTTTGTGACTGAAAGAATAAAGTTTTTCGTATGTGTACAGTGTACCCTGATTATATACTACTATGCGTGAGAACTTGCATTGCGCGATGTAGTATTAATATTTAATCCTTAATTCGCTGTTTCGTCGTTAGATGGCATTGCAATATGTGTTCCTTGCATGTGGAAGTTATCATTTATGGTGATTTATAAATAATAGTCTTTATATTTATACGGAAACAATATATTTCCTCTTAACATCTATATTGGCCGTTTCTTATAATCTAAAAAGGGCCTTTTTCCAAAAATCATATTTACTTTTAATTAAGTCTAAATGAAGACATGACATTTAGAATTGACGAATATTTATATATAATTAAATCTATGCTTAAACACTAGATATTATTTATTGTAACTAGTCTTAGTATAGGTACTACGGTTAAATATCATAATGATATATGCCTAGCCGTACACTTAGAGGGTTATAAAAAGCTTAGGGTTACTATGAAATGTAAAGTATATTTTACGTTATTTTTGGTTAAAATGTTTATGTACTGACGAATTATTTACTAATTTTTGTGACGTTTGAAATTTTATATCCGGATGGCCGGATATCCGGATAAAGATGGTATTTCTGATTGAATAGTTTAGAGATTTATTTTTAGATGTTTCAAACAAACAAAGCTAATATTTTTCACCAGACGTTTCACAGCCAACCCACAGCTTAATATTAACGAAATAAATAAGTACAGAATGGCTTCCAGACTTATAATAAGGTTTTTACTGGAATGTTATATTACAGTTGAGATTTAATTATTATAAAAGCGTTTTGAAGAGATCCAAATATAAGAAGAAAACACATCAAAAGCTAGGCTGTGTTCATAATTAATTACATGAGTTCAAGATTAATTAAATTATACAAAATTATTTTCGTGAGTGGTATTATTCATATTTATTAAAGATAAACGGATTTACTCATTTCTGTATATCGTTAATGCTCGACTAGTTTCGGACCACGACGGATGCCCTTATTCCAGGAATGACGACCTGTCGCCACGGTGTCACACAAACACAAGGCAACGTAAACGAGAACATAATGCACATCCCTACGACCAAAGAACCAGTCGCGTATTTTCGAAATACACTTTTTAGTCAAACCGTTTAACTTAAATAAACACAATGTATTATAAACTATAAACATAATAGGTACAAAATGCGTTATATTCCAGTTAGATTCTTTTAAAATATAATCTTTTAGATTCAAAACTAAAATTCGCTTTACACTGCTTGCTAAACACAAAAGCACACAATATACGTTAAAACGAAAACTTACATGTAATAAAGATATATATATTATGTTACAACAGCTTTAGCCGTGCTCTATTTTGATTCACTTTGCAAAATGGAAATGTACAATACACATTATGTATTTAAACGCAAAGCAATCACAATACTTTGGTTTAACTCCAGCTTAACGAATAATAATAAAAAATATTATTTGTTTATTTACAAGAAGTATGTACAGAAATAGTTAACAAACAAAAAAAGATAAATACCTATATTTTCGTAAAAAAAAACCAGTAAATATATACAAAGATCTGCCGAAATAACGAAGCTTAACATGTTTCAAAGCGTTTTTTTTCTATAGAATAGAGGTCAGATGAGCCTCATGGTAAGTGACTACTGCCGCCTATGGAAACCTGCATTTTAGGGACAAAAAGGGACTAAAAATACGGCAACACACTGGGTGTTGCCGTCTTTTTAGTCCCTTTCTCCCGAAATTAGGAGGAGGAAGGGCTTTGATCCTTTAGTAACCTAAGACACTCGATTAAAAGTACGAAAGAGGTGCTAACACCGGTTTATTGGGAGGCTGTGGTATAACGCCGGTTGAGGCGACCCATTTGTGCCGAATTACCCTATGTTTCGTGTTTATTAATAAGCTGTTAAGAGTCCAAAGCATTTTTCATAAAGCCTTCGATTTTATTCGCTCAAGGCAAACAAAAATGCGTCCTGAACATTTTGCTTGTGACTTTTTACACACAATTTTTGCAGTACACTATAAAAATGTGTGTAGTTTATACTGTCTTAACTAAATTTAAAAATTGAAAAAAACTATTGGTGGGATTTAGTAACAAATTATGGGATTAGTAAAAAAATGAATGTCTAATTCATGCCATTACAAATTTATAAAATTATGGAATTCGCGGTAATTAAGAGAGTCAAAATTATTAATTAAAAAAATATATCTTATAGAATATGGCACAGAAAAATAAGTCTTATGTAGTTACGAAAATATGTACACTATTGTTATAGAAATAAGGTACAGACTACCTTGAATACACGCTGAGCTTGTTACGTTCTTCAGCCGGCAATGAAACTCAAGAGATCTTTAGTGAAAGGATAACAACTGCGTATGCGCACACTACAACTAATATTTACAAAAATGTACAAAAGTTAACTTAGTTTCTTTTTACAACTAAACTATGACTTAGAGTTACTTAGAACTAAGTAATAATGACTAAACAGTTCTCGCGTTAATAACTTAATTTTAGTATGTTAAGTTTTTCAACTTAAATTATTATTTTTAAGATCTTTACCGACACATAATTTGAACATAACACGTTAGTATTATACGTTAAGTTTAAAATAACATAACACCATAAATTAAGACCACCGATTCACGCGGGTTACAACTAGCAGTCTAAATTGAACCATGCGTCCCTGCCTCATGTTACAATATCCAATGAAGAAGAAAAACTACCATTTCATCCTAAACAACTTCGCGTCTCGTCTTTTTGCGCTGGATAATTTAATTTGTAGTAAAGTCACTTATACATTTCAGAGGTGAGGATTGGCATAGCTGGATAAACGAATTTGTGCCCTATTTCGACACGCGTGAGTATTACTTCCAATATCAGGTCACAGAGAAGTCGTATCCTAAACAGCTACAATCTTACTTGGATCTACCTTAACTCTTAAAAACATTACGTCATCTTTAATAAAATTCCTCTTCTTCAACATCTCGTGGGAGACAAATCTTGGAAAACCGAAGCCGAGTGCGTCAGGCTCCTTTGAAGGTCTTTGGAAGTTTTTCCAAGTTGGGTCTGGAACGAAGCTTTCGACGATGTTGCAGGCCCGGTCCGGACTTGAGCTCTGGTCGAAGAGCGTGAAGGAAACTGTATGAGCGAATGGCCAGCGGAGGAGAGCGTCGTATTCTCCTGGTAAAATCTTGATGTATACTGACATGTGGGTAGCTTCACCAGCGCCATTGCCATTCAAGAAAAGTGATGCCTGAAAAAAAGAATGTAAAAGTAAGTCATTATATTCGAGATTTAATTACTGAGAGTTATAAGTTATGCAAAACCCTTATCTCCTCGAACTAATATTTCTTACTCTCCCTAACTTTCTCATCCTATCTCTGCTGTGTGTGTCTCTGTTGACGGTAATATGCCTGCCCCTTATTATGCAAGGAGACAAAAATTACAGCAAGCAGCAAGCATTACGGTATATTAACAGCCCAAAATTATCTAATATGTGGAAGTTCAATATGTCTCTGCTTACTAGACTGCTCTCTAGACTAGAATGCAATGTGGAAATGATTAAGTGAACTCTATTTCTAAGTCAGTTCATTTGATTTTTATAAGTTGATCATTTCGATCGTTGATATTTTGTTTATTTCAAAGCAGTAAATCCAAATCATCTCCCATACCAATAATCAACATAATTTATAATCTACCCGCAAAATAAAATTAAATTAAGTGCGTGAGTAACTATCTAAATCTGTCGTACTGAGTGAGACCACGAGGGATTACTCATAGCACGAATGTTTTTCAGTGATATAAATAAAACAGCATGGTTTTGTTTACCAACAGTATCCACGCTTCTGTGAGAAAACTGTTTCTAAGTACAAAAATACTGATGATATTAAGTTAAGAATGTAATCGTGTAAAATTTAATTGTAGGAGAAAAAAGAACATAGTTTCTTTGGTTTGCATTTATTTTTAAATCGGCTCAGATAGTGTACTGAATTTGTTTTGGCACAAATGCCAAATGCTAAAAGTTGAATAATGGCGCTTGTGAATATGGTACAAATAAATTCCGATAGTAAAGTAACATAGACATTAAAATGTGCTTGTGATGTGATTTTAAAATTTCCTGTAATTTGAGAAATATACGGTATTTTAACCAAACTAGACGGATCCTCTACTATCGTAACCTGACTGTTGATGAACATACTTATGTATATTTTTCCACATCATCATCATCGACAGCCATTGATAGTCCACTGCTGGACATCGGCCTCTCCTAAGAAAGGAGGTTTTGGCCTTATATACCACGCTGGCCAGACGGGTTGGTATAGGGTTTGTTCCAAGTTCGTCTTTGCAGTGCTATTGTCCTGCGTATTTTGCTCCCTTAGTGGCTCTTAAATACCTACGAGATAAATAGGGATGGTGACATTTCGTATTCTTAATCCGTCACCACATGGACATACATTTCGACATTTCGGCAAGTTCACTACCCACCAGACTAAATGGCTCCGATAGGAGTCTGCAACTACCCACTCACTTTAAAAATTACTTAAGTTGAATGTTAACTAACCTGCAACTTATATCCATACTGGCTAGTATAGAACGCGGGGGATACAAGCTCGACTCCATCTTTGCACTTGGCCTCAGCCATTTTAGCCGCCCAGTCGGAGATGCGCCACACGAGTGCGCCGGAACAGTTGACCGACAGTCGCGCGACTGCTGCCCGGAGAGAGTCCAATTGTCGCGCCTGACGGCTGGCCAGCGCGGAGACTAGGGCGAGATGCTGTTGACAGCTTTCTTCTGTGTGTTTGTCGAGAGCTTGTCTTGTACCCTGAAAGAATAAATATATCAATTATAAATACGTAAAAATAAAACAACACAGTACGTTCATAGTTCAAAGTTTTGTTTAATTAACAATATTTGGTGGTATTAATCATTTTGGGCATTTTTGTTCTGCCTTCGATGGGGTTTTATGATCCGGAATAATTTAGTGAATTTAGTCGAAAGACATTTCTTTCGTGTGTTACTTGGCAGCTCCGTCATATTTCCATTTTCAACATCAACCGTCGGACAGTGGATACTATTATAATTAGCGTAAGGACAGGATATCGACTGGTTTCGATCGATGTGGCGCATCACAACAGCCACATTTGCTAAAGTTTTTTGTAGCGAGGTTCACCTTAAACCTGCAGCCGGCGTCCCTGAAGGAGCAGGGCAGCGCGGCGGCTGCGGCGGCGGCGGCGTGGTCGCGCAGGTGCGCCGCCAGGTCGGCGCGCGCCACGCCGCCCGCGCCGCAGCGCTGCGGGCACGCCACCGGCGCGCGCCCACACGACAGACCGTGTGCGCTCACTGTGTCCTGTAAACGCAACATTATTTAATACTTTCTTCTTTTTTGGATCACGATTGTTTTTCTACTTCATAATACCCGAGACTTCGAATGTCCTTGACCCAGTTCAACCACCCAAAAATCCACATAAAGAATTAACATAATGGAAACATTTATGCAGCGCCTAGGTAGTAAATAGTTTATAAAATTAATATATATTTCTACTTCATTAACTAATTATATTCTGATAATCATTTTTCGATTTCTTCTTTCGCAATCCATTTTTTTTCTGATTGCACGTTGTCATTAATATAAGCTGTAATTGTTTTATAGCTGTTTAGTAAATATTTTTTAGTTGTTATTATTAAATTGTTATTTAGTAGTTAAGTAATTTTCGTAACTAATTATGTCATTAATACAAATTAATGGCAGTTATAGTATTGATGGCAAATTTATATCTTTAACTATCATAATCGAAATATCGATATTTCAAAAACATTCGAAATTCGATTTAATGTAAGTATGCCAAAATCGCCTAATGCGAACAAACTCTCACCTGAGTGTAACTTTGTCCGCAATGTTTGCAGGGCACGAGACGTTTACTGCAGTGTTGTTGAATGTGTTGTTGTGTGTGTCGTCGCTGCACTTTTGCGCCGCATTTGTTTTCGCAGTACACTGGCTCATGACCGCAGTTCCCTTGATGTTCCTGCAAAATATATCATAATAATATGATAGTATTATGATATAAAAAGATAAAAGCGTAATCTACCTTGAACCATGAACTAATTACGACATAATAAAACTGGGGAACTTCTTATCCTTCGTAGTCGAATTCGCAACAGCACATAGTTGCATCATTGATAAATTCTGTTTTGGAATTTGTTATGTAAACTTTAAAATTGTACGCGGCGCGCCTTTATGGCGCATCGCATGGTGCTTGCAATTCTTTCTTTAAAAAAGTTTAGTGCAAAATTTTGAACAAAAAAACGTATGAACGTAATGGCCATATTGTGAGTAGCTATACCACGAGTTCTCATTTATCGTTCGCTAACGACAATTTTTATTTAATATTTATTTACTCTTTTTTTTCATTTAAATTTATACTTTCTATTGATTGTATAAAGTATAAGACAATAATAATATCATTGTCATTTGGTAAATAACTTTTTTTATTCTTTTCTATTCCTTTTCTTTTTTATGTTAGTCGAGGCTTATACAGCTTTATAAACAAAAGCAATTACTTTTTTTAATGTTTAATTGCTATTTTATATTGCTTCGTTCCACTGCTATCAATTTGTCATGTTGCTGAAGTGAAGCTGAGCAAAGCTTACCTCTAAGGCGCTCCCAGAGAACTCCTTATGGCAGTGCTCGCAGTTGGCGCGGCGGCGCGCGCACGTGTAGCGCAGGTGGTCCTGCATCAGCACGCGCGGGATCATCGCGCCGCACTGCGCCGCGCACAGCACTGCATCGTGCTTGCAGGTGTTAAGGTGCGCCTGCAAGTACAAAAAAAAAACAACAAAATTTCAAAAATGGAACAAGGTTCTTTACTTTATACGGTACTTATTATTACATTCGTAAATTGTAAGCATCTAAAACGATTTTTTTTTCACTTTAAAAAAAGAATGATTTGTAAAACATTTTCAATTCTGCAATATTAGTTAAAAAAGTAATAAACATCTTTCATAAATATCGGTTACTAGTAGTAGCTATTTATAACAGTTGACATTGATATGGCAGGTCCCTTCAACTCTTGATTCAGAGCCTTTGTTGGGACGTAAACTAGTAGAGCAACAGTGAAATAAACAAAACAGTAAAACCGTATATTTGTAATAATGTTAATTCGCAAAAAAAATCCTATGCAAAATATGTTTTCCTAGCGTATGTTTTGAACATACCTTAAGAGTAAATATAGTATTGTGTGGTGATAAATAATTGTATCGTGACATGCCTGTGTGTGTTACACAGTGATAGATCGATTGGTCTATTTACCTACTTCTCTTTATCTGGACAAATATCGGGCGTTCTCACTCACCTTCAATTTGCGTAGTTCATCTGACCACTGACATCCTTCCTTGTGATGAATGCAGTACACCACAGATCCCATTATAGCCTTCTCCGACTCAGGGTCTGGGTAGATCTGTAACAAAATAAAATTATTAAAACCATATTACATACATTTATGAAGATTACCTTCAAAATATACCTTTTTTATCTTAGATATAATGTATTTAAGCATTTTGATTTTTTTTTTATTTCAACAGAACACACGACGCCAACAGTTACGGTTGCTGCTGAGACTGATTCAGGCGCTTGCTACACTACGCATAACGGATTAAATAGGGCACGCGATTAAAAATAAACTACATTTCAAAGAGAATATCAAACAAGCGCTCTGTATACACACCGTACTTTCGAAAATGGAACACATCGTACGGAAATATGTAAAATGGCCGACTGTTTTTCGCGCGTAATTATTGAAAGACGCGGGTGCGTTCACCGCAAACGGCTGATACGTAGTGAATGCGTTCCCGTTTGTACATTTTCGTTATCTTTATGGGTGCAACGAACAGATGGCTCGCTCTACGGACCACCGTTCCCTTGTGTTTGTGTCGAGATAAGCGTGATTTTTCACTTCCCAAACCAGCTGGGTAATGGAACAAGCAAATATACTCGTTAAATTCCTTTGAGCACGCCACTTTCACATATTGCAGCTAATTTTTCTATGAAACCGCTTCGGCGAGAACTGAAAAACGTGTGTTAACTGGTGCTACTACAAAAATAAAAAAGTTACAGACGCTAAAACTTGTTAGTAAACACAAATGAGTTAAAATATTTACTAAGAAGATGTCTCTCCTCGCCGCATAAAGCTTGTCGTCCTAAGCGAAAATTTAAGTTAACACTTGAATTTTCCATACATTGAAACAATACCAATCATTTAAATGTCTTGTTGAAGCTAACCAGCCATGGACATGAAGCATTACGAAACAGAAAAATCAAAGTTGTTTCATAGTACGCTGTTTCTATTTACAAACATTGATGCATGTGGTCATCGCCATGGCTGCTGCGTAACGTACCACCTTAGCATATTCTATTCAAGTAAAACGAAGTACCTTATTCTATCTTTCGCATGCACTTAACTATAAGCTTTAAGTTAGAGAGATAGAAGCGACAATCGATCATCATATTAAGGAGGACTAGGTGCTCTCAAAGCTGGTGGTGTATAAATTTTCAAATATAGAATGTTATTTGTGTCGTATTCTAAAAAGATGGACCGCGATGTGTTCAGTTCTCCCGCATCGCTCAATTATAGAACTCGTTGTATCGTAAATAAAGCAGGATCAAAACGTAACAGGTTGCTGAAGTGACGCGGTCGTTATGACGTTTTGCTTTGGAACTATTAAACGGCAAAAGGATAGATGGAAATTGAGGATGCTACGCTACCATTTGTAAAATATCACTGTTCGAGGTGTCATTAGATAGCTTTATAATTTATGTAACTTATTCGTATAGCGTCACTGCCACACCGATTTTTTTGTTTTAAATATAACTGTCAACCGACGTAAGCGTTTAGTTGTTGCTTAAGGTAACAACTAACAAATATAACATGTATTGACTTCCTTATTCTGCGTAGTTTAGCATAAATTTGGACATAAAGGGTTGTAATATTATATGTAATTAATCAGGTTTTTGACATAATACATGCAAATGTTTGCGGACAAATGTCTTAGGAAACGCAGTTGGAGATAAGAAGGGACCATATTAAGCAATGAGACCTTATCCGCCTACACGGATTGTGTTTATTAAACCATATTCTATATTATTAAAAGTATATATTAATAGCTTCTATATTTAATGAAATTTACACGGAACTCAAGGGCGATGGATCATAAAAATAAACGATACATGACTGATAATATCAATTCAACTCATAATTTATTAATCTCAGAATAATATTTCTTCGTGTGTGGTTTTAAATACGTGCTGCATTTTATTTCATTTAGTCTAAGCAGTTTAGCAAGGGTTATGAGTGACTAGACGTAGATTAATAGTTGAAACCGATGGGATTCCATGACTTCTTCTTTGCGATGTGGAAGAATCATTCAACTAGGGACCATTGCTTTAAGCCCGACGAGAAAGAACCGCCAAAAGTCGTGGCAGAACCATGCTTCTGCACATATGGCTGCCTGGCTGGCTCGACTGGATTGACACTACGCCACACAGAAAACCGATGTTAAGGAAGTCTTTCGTTGCTAAACTGAAGCACGGAGTAAGTAAAGTTGTCGGAGGATAAAATCCCCCCTCTTTCTCGGGGGGGAGGAGGGGAGTAATCGTAGGGCGTCGACGTAGTTACTGTCTGTTGACTTGCAGGTGTCCACCAGGTGGCGGTACAGCTTTATATTGGGATGACGCTGACTAGGTTAGGTTTTGCCATAGCTGTCGTAGTCTACAAGAAGTAAGTTGACGTAATATCAACAGCCATGTGTGGACTGGCCTAGGACATAAGCAACGCATATTCGTATTGATGGCAATTTCTTAGAAACATGTTGACAAATAAGGCGTATTTTATTGCTGTGCTGTTCAAGTCTTGTGCAAGCATAAAGTTCAGACTAAGCTTATGCAGCGGTAAACCTAAATCAAATTATCGGCATTTAAATTTATTTATAATAGTGTAGAAAATATGATATTGCGCTTTCTACAACCAAACTAAGCTCAGTTTCTGGGACAAGGATAACGTATTACTTAAATATCGGTGGCAGAAAACGATTTTTTGTGTCTCAAAATATCAAATATTACATCAGAGACCTAAAACTAGGTTTTTTCGTAAAACCATTACAAAATGACGAAAAAATTCAATGCTGTCTCATCATAGGGAGATAAGATAATACCAATATGGGCCATTTAAAGAAATATTTATAACCATCTTCAACAAAAGGAGGAGGTTTTCAATGATTGTTACCTCAGAACTCAGTCATTTATCAAACGTTTTTTTATTAATTATACGAAAGTGTATTCCTGTTTAAAGAAATTATTCCGTCCCCAAGTTTTGTTTATTTATTACATTTCATCATGATGTATTAAAATCGATTCTATTTCCTTAAAAGCTAATTTTTATTAATTAGATACATACAATACATAGAAAATACCCAACCAATATTAATACTATATTTATTCAAATTTATATTTGTTTTGAGAGGACTAACATAACTCACTTTAATTGTTATTACAATTTAATAAATAACAAACAAGTTTCTCGAAGCTTTTATGGCATAAAAACCTTATCTATTTACAAGGTAACTAAACGCCTACTGCTCGGGGTTGCATAACGTCACCCACGCGGCTACACACTCGCCTATCAATCTTGGAAGACCTTGAGGGCACCAATATTACATTGCATTAGATACCTACTAAGATATCCTAGGAACTTAAATTTCTAATGATTGAACCTGCTTACAAGAAAACTGTTGGACTGTTGGCGAAAATCTACTACGTTGCAAGTAAGCAAATGTTATTTTAGTCAAAACAATGTGTGTGTATGTGACAATTCATTTAACGACCGCGTCCGTTACGCGTACATGGGTGACAAGTCGACGGTTCTAATTTGTTACGAGCTCCATTTAGGGTGAATTTTAACACGGCTCCTTCAGTTTTATCCTTTTGAGTAGAGGAAAACATGCGGCACGCCATACAAGTGTAAATAAGAGCCCAAAAATAATAATTTTAGATCCTCATTTTTGACAGACATGTATGTTTTTAAATGAGTTGCCACATTAAAATGAAAAATATTTCAGTTGTCAAAATAGATACTACCAATAAAATAAGTCACCAAAAATATTTCTAAAAAAGGTTGCATACAAACGCGCCCATCGTCGTTTAAAAATGGAACACAAAATATAAATTACGATGCGAACTCATCTGTCACTTAGTGTTCTTATTTAAAAAATGGCGGGATTATTTTTTCTGTACTGAACGATATTTTCTCTTATTCGTGGTTATTATTATCGTATCGCTCCTTGTTTGTGCTTCTTTGACGTTTTCCTACTTCTGCTTTCATCAAGTAACACTGGGCTGATTGACAACTGACGGCGATGTGCGTACAAATTTAACATTACCTATCAAAAAACTTAAATTTCTCCTTATATCTTCCCTTCTAAGGTCGATTTTTGTATACTATTACTGGTAGAATTTAAATTTATGGTTTGGTATTATGTTAACCTATCGACACGCGCTGACGTGGGAATGTAAACAAAACGATGAAAATATATCTAGGGATTATTTTGGAGTGTATCCGTAGTAAACAAAGTGAGTTTGTACACTACAAGGGACCTTTGAGACGCGGCCTAACTCTAGTAAGTCTATTTACGGCTTTAGATTCCCGCGTCGCATGTGTTTTAACAAATATTAACTACACAAAATAAATAAATCATTTTTTTTATATGATATAGCCATAAACAAACAAATTTATAATAGCAAATTAACATCACGATTGTTAATCAATTATATTGGAAGCTGCGTTGTCGGAAATCATCTGATATCCAAGCAATTTAAGTATCAAAATTCTGTTATTATCTGTTAGAACTCAAAATGATTATGTTTCACATAACATTACAATATTCGATAATCTTATAAAACTTTTTAATAATTGTTACGTTATTCTAAAGTAATATACATGTCTATTACAATTCACTGAACATACAACTACGGTATTATAAAATGTAAATAATAAGAAACGTTGGGCATCAACTGTGGCGCGAGCGGAAGCGGGTTCGACGCCCGCAAGCGGAACATTACCGTGGAATATGGAATGATGTATAATTATGTTATTTAATTATTACTGTCGTTATTGTTATGGTAGTCTTAAGTGAAATATGCCTGACCTTTTACGAAGGAGTTTTCTGTCTTAAGTCTGTAGTATACTGTTGAAGGAATTTCTTGTTAAATTGATACAACCTTAGTGGGGATAAGGGTTGGACTAAAATCAATCACATGTGATAAACCATATTTATAAATTATATAATCACACCTGCGACTGTATTACAAAACTACGGTTACTTCATTATTATTTTTACGCTAGCGCAACTCGCGAAAGGTCTAAATCTTAAAAAAAGGCCGTAATCTTTTATTAAAAATAAGTTTTATTGACTTAATGTCATTTATCTTTGTCTATCAATGTAAATCACAATCAATTGTAAATCACATTCACATGTGAAATAGCTGTGACTAAAACCGATCATTTCA